TTTCCTCATCCCACCAAGTTTCTGAAATACCCACAATGTCTATTTTCCCCTCCGACACCAAGCACTCCAACTCCCCGATTTTACCTCAGACACTTCTAGCATTTGTATAGAAACAGCTATAATTTCCCATACAAGTTAAGCCTGCAACCTTCCTCTTGCTATCATCTCGAGACCTTGTCAGGCAGTCCATGTCACTAGCCATGGTCTCAGTGGACAATTTCAATCCACCTCCCTATAGAAAAGCAACAGGTACCCCCTCATCTCTCTGAGATGAGCCAACCCGAACCAAAGACTTTTCATCTCCTGTCGGCTTTCCCCCAATATTCAGTTTAAAAACTGCTCTGCCACCTTTTTGTTTTTAAGCGCCAGCAGCCTGGTTCCTTCTCGGGACAAGTGGAGACCGTCTCGCCTGTACAGCTCCCTCTTGTTCCAAAAAGCATCCCAGTGCCTAACTAACTTGAACCCTTCCCCTGTACACCATCGTCTCATCCACACATTGAGACTCCTGATCTGTGCCTGTCTCTCCAGCCCTGTGCGTGGAACAGGTAGCACTTCTGAGAAAGCTACCTTGGAAGTCCTGGACCTAAGTTTCCTGCCCAGCAGCCTAAATTTCTCCTCCAGGACCTCACGACTGCATTTCCCCACATCTTTGGTGCCGACATGTACCACGACCACTGGCTCCTCCCCAGCACTATCTACCAGCCTATTTAAAACACGCGTAATGTCCGCTACCTTCGCACCAGGCAGGCAAGTCACCATACGGACTTTATTTTACATCATATCTTCCCAAGTTTTTAGAGTAACCTGAATAGTACAGGAGCATTATTCGATTTCCCCCCATGAAACCACATGGCCTCAGAAGTCATACCACCCATTCAGATAACTTTTGTTCTTTTCTTTCTGACTTTTTTATTTTAATACATTTTTGTAGGAATGTGCTGTTAATCACTGCCTTTCCAGCATCCCAAATTGTAGTCCAGCTCAAATCAGGAGTAACATTATACCTAAAGTATTTCTTTTCTTTTTTTTAATAAAGGTTTTATTGGCTCCCCTAAAAAGGGGAGGTATTTCGCTTAAAAGAAAAAAGGGAGGGGTAGACAGTGGGAGAAAGAGAAAGCTGAGTGATATATAAACTGGTAAATTAAACTGTTAGTAATGTCCAATTAATCTTCTTGGGCTTCTTCTGTGTGTTGCCAAACTTCTTTTCTTAGTCCTGTTACATGTATTCTCTGTTAGTATGTTAGTAATGTTCCTTTGAGATTCTGTTAATAAAAAGGGTCTCTTCTGTGCACATTCAGAACCGCTTCTTTGCGTGCTGGGTACTTTTACTATCGCTGACGTGGAGGAGCTTCCTCTGTTGTCTTCTCCTTCCGGCTTGTTAGATCCTCCTTCGGGTTGTTGTTAATACGCTCAGTTCATGTACTATAAATCCTCTTCCTTTCATGCCCCGGAGGTCCCCATTTTCGAGAAGGGTGTCAATTTCATTTTCGCTTTTATATTCGCTCCCAGACTCTCTGTGGGTCCTCCTCGCAATTGTTGACTTATAAGCGCTTATCAGGCACTTCTCGCTGTCACAATTCCAACGTATCTTTTTTGCAAAACTCCCGTCGGATTCACAGCCATAAACAGTCCAAACATTCAACAGCCGGCTCTTGCACACAAACAAAGGCCCAGACGGAAGTCCCTCCCTTCTTCTCCGCTCGCTTTTGCCCAGCTCCGACATCTTTTCTTTTTTGTTTACTTTTAGAAAGTTCTTAAAATGTGCTCCAGAGAGACAAGTTTCTCGCTTTCAAATACATCAAAGGAAAACATCACTGTCCGCTCAATTCATCCCCCCCCCTCCTTTTCTTTTTCGCTTGTATAGATGGAGGATTAACCTCTTCGCCTTTTTCGCTGGGAGGGGGGGGAAAACAATTTTCAGTTCTTTTTCTCTGCATTTTGACAACTCACAGTTAAGCCGATCTTTTCTTTTTCTTTTCAATTTTTCCGGATGGTCGCTTTATCACTCGGTGACGTCTGGTGGCTCCGCTAAACCCCGTTCGGGGTCGCTCACGCAGCAAGGTCCATTGGGGCAGGGCATGGCGGGAGCCTCGCTCTCCGACCTCTCGGCCGAAAGAGCGACTCCCCCCTAGTGCGCCCTAAAGCGCCCCGGATCCGAGCTCCTCTCTTCTGAGGGGCTCGTTCGGGTCTCCGCTCGCGCGGATTCCCTCCTCCACCGCGGGCGGGCGAGGCGCCCTCGGGAACGACCCGAGGAAGCGTCCGCCATGCGCGGGAGCCAGACCGGAAGCCACCTAAAGTATTTCTTAAGTATTAATTCTGCTTGTTTAAAATCTTTCTCATTCTGCAACAAATAACAGCTTCTAAACATCTCTTTCCTCTTATTATCTCCATTCTATTATTAATGGGGGGGACATAATCTGCAAATTTCATAATGTCAGTTTCTGCGTTCTTTTTTTTAAATACCACCGTTAGTGAGACTGGGTGGGGGGGGGGAGCAATTCTCAAATAAATGTTGTGTAGAGGAGTTCTGAGAAGTTAAAAAACCTCCAAGTGCCCATAAGATGATCTTAGGTAACAGTCTTACTTTAGCTGAGAAAACAAAAGATCTAGAGAAACGTCTTGAAACTTGTTAAAGTCCCCCCCCCCAGCAATGTGGCCATGGGTCAATTCTTGTAATTGCAACATAAATATTTCATAAGGCTTTTCGAGATGAACTTGAGGCTTGTGGTAATTCTTGGCCCACAGCTGTTAATTTTGGTATCACAAGCTGCCCTAATTTATCTCACACTCTCATACTTTCAGAAAGGGGGCCCTAAGAATTTTTGCCACTCATCTTTTCTCATATGTGTCTCCTGAAAGAAAAACATATTTGCTCACTCTTTTTTCAATAGTTGAGTAAATTTCCATCTTTTTATGGAAGAATTCAAACCATTCATGTCAACAAATATCATAAAAGTTATATTTCATAAAACACACCATTAATAAAACATAGAAATATAAATGGAGAAAGCAATCTTACTCAACTTACAAAGTTTTTTGCTAAATCTTTTGCTTTTGTTAATGTTCAAACAGTCGCCCAGTCAGAATCTATATACATATTAAACCTAAATAGGATACTCCAAAATATGTCTGATTTTCCTCATCTTAAATCTCTGAGAAATTTAAATTGCTGCTGTTTGTGTAGAGCATCAGAAGTCCTTTGAAATCTGTATCTCTGTTCTTCCCCTTCTGTGCCCTCTGGAAATCGCTGCCATCACTCTCGGGCTCTTAAAAGATGCGATTGCATCCTGTGATTCGTTCAGCCTGCATGTGTCAGGTCCCCACAGCCACAACGAAGTACACACTTGTAGAAAGGTTTTACTTTTATTGAAGCTGAAGATGCATTGACAGGATCACTGTTAGGAATGACGAGGAATCAAAGAGCATGAGAGGTTATAGTGCATTCAAGCAAGCGAGGCCCAATTTCGGGACTTCCCCCGCGCGCCAGTCGGCCTGAGAACGAACGGTACCACTAAGCATAACAGATACTCTTCCCACGGCACCTCCGTGAGATAACCCAAGCAACTATCCAGCGACTCTCCTCCTGCGGCCTTGAGAGATACACGTTGCTGCTGTGAAGCAATTAAGCGCACAAAAAGGAATGCGTATGAAAGCGAAAGCAGAAGACAATTGGCAGCTTGCTGACAGCATGCTGCATTATAGCCTATCCTGTTTGCTGTCTCTATCATTCTCCAAGCTGTTTTTCCAAAAGTTGCTCCAGACAGACACAGCATTCTTATTCCACTCTTGTGTCACTGAGGACATGGGACATGGGAGGTGTGCAGTTCTTGTGGTTGAAACTCTGCTTAGACTCACTCTGGTTTATGGAGGCCTTTCCCCAAACCGGTATTTGTGACTTGCCAACTGTCAGAATAGTTTTGTGCAATATCTGAAACTGGGCTCTTGGAAATCCAGCAGGATGCCCTCTTTCAGGAAAAATAAATCCACTCATCCCCTTGGGGATTTTTTTTTTTTTTTGGGGGGGGGGGAGGAAGCTTCCTGGAGATTGAGACACCCCCCCTCTTTTGAGAATGGGGCCAGGCGTATTTCCGAGGCTGCTAACATGCACGTCTTTTTGTTTCCAGGGTGCCCCAACCCCCAAAAGGATTGAGTATCCCCTAAAGGCTCACCAGAAAGTGGCGATAATGAGGAACATTGAGAAGATGCTGGGCGAGGCCCTCGGGAACCCACAAGAGGTGCAGAACAGTCCTGGGAAGATGTGGGGGGCTGAGTCTGGAGCCCCTTTTCTGGTTCCTGGGGTGTGTGGGAAGGCTGAGCAGGAGGCGGGGTTTGTTTTTTTGTTTTGGAAATCAGGCTGCCACAAAGCTTGGATTGTGGCTTTTGATATATATATCAAAGTAAGGCTCTAATAGTGTCTTCAGCATTTTACCCAAAACCTTTTGGGATGGGGCCAATGTTCCCTCTAAGCTGTGGAGTCTTGTGAGCAAGAATTCTACCTTGTGAGCTACTGGCATTAGGGTTGTGAGCAAGCAATTTAGCTACTGCATAAATTACTTTGCTCTGGAGCCATCCTTCCTGAACTGAGACAAAAATGTGTGAGCCAGAGGCTAAAAAACTGTGAGCTAGCTCACACTAACTCACCTTAGAGGGAACACTGGACGGGGCCCTTTTGGAGGACTGAAATTTGACATCTCCATAAACATCAAAATAAAACAACAGAACTCGGTCTGCGCATTTCTGCATCGGGTCTCTGAAAACGAGCTCAAGTCCTTTTGCTTAGAGGAAAGGAGGAGAGATGCAAAACGCATTCCTTGTAAACACGGAAGCTGTTCTACTTTGAGGGGGAGAGAGAGGCAACAAGGCTGCCGGCCTTTAAAGGCAGATGAAAAGAGCCTGATGAACCCACAAGGCCCTGAGACAGGATTCTGGGGCCCCGGGCCGTCACAGCAGGCCGTGCCTCGAGGGGCTGGGGCACGTGGAAGGGTGGCGCTCTCTGAGGGAGCCACGCGGGAGAAGGCAGGATCTCCGTTTCTTGGCCACTGTTGAGAGGGGGCCAGCCTGAGAGGAGCAGCAGCCCTCTGCATCCCAGACGGGACGGGGCTGTGGAAACATGCTTGTGGCATTGTGGCTACCCTTGTTGGCACTTCCGGGAATACGGCCTCAGAGGCCATTCATCCGAGTGGACTCCATCGCTCGCCTTCAGGGGCTTCTTATGGTCTCAGCGAGATTCAGCTCACGTGTTCAGGATGAGTGTGTGTGTGTTCCTTCATTTGAAATGGCACGCGTCCTGAGCAGATGTAACAGGTGGGGAGGCACATTCTGGACATAGGTTTCCATGTTGGGTTCCCCTGCTTCCTGATTCGGATACCTGTTTGGGAGGAGGAGAGAGACATATAAAACTGATCCCTTCTCACCTAGAGAACTGTTTAGCTTGCAGGTTTCAGAAGAGCTGGAAATGATCTTTAAAACATGCTCTTTGGAAAAGAGGCCCTTGAATCTGTTGAGAGATGAAACTGGTGTATGGTTACTGAGAAAAACCTTGAAGTTTTCTGTGTATCCAGGGCCGGCCCCAGCTTATTTTGCACCCTAGGCGAAGATCCCTTCTGGTCCCCCCCCCCGTGCGCCCACCATGGCTCGGACCCGTTAATTGGATCTGTACCCCGGACCTCCCATTCCCCTGGCACCCATGCTCTTAACACTCACTTTTGCTTTTGTAACTTTGCCTGCTTTGCACACCTGGCTTCCACCAAGGAAGACTCTGCAAAGGAAGGCATTCACAGTCACAAACAACCACTGCTTCTCACTTGCCTTGAGAGTTCCTTGCTGGGGTTGCCATAAGTCAGTTGCAACTTGAGTGTCCTTGTGTAATAGCCCCCTACTTAGATTCTTCTTTGACTCAGCTGAGTGACCCTTCTGTGCCCAGAGGGCTAAGTTCTTTGGTGGAATTGGTGTTTGTATCATCAGAAAGGTCATAACATGTTTAAAACTCAAAGTGTTAGCAGCTGAACCAGGACAGCGGGGAGGAGGGGTGCCAGTTTGGTGCCCCTAAGGGCCGGCACACTCTAGGCGAGTGCCTAGTTCGCCTAGTGAGTGAGCCGGCTCTGTGTGTATCCGTAGGACACAGGCAGATTTCCTGTTGCAGGTGATTAGGTTTGGGTGTTGGGGGAACCGCTGGGGCTCTTAAGCAGTGCTGCTATGTTTTAGGTGAAGAGTCTTGGCAAGAATGCTGGATTCTGAATCCCAGACCTATGACCTTGGGTGAAGAGTCTTGGCAAGGATGCTGGATTCTGAATCCCAGACTTATGACCGTGGAGATGTGTCCCGCTCTAAGACTGCAGTTCGGCAACTGGGCAGGCTTTGTCAGGGCCTCATTTCTGCTGTTAGTAACGGGTGTGTGTTTGTGTTTTCTTCTTCTGGCTTTTGTGCAGGTGGGTCCCTTGCTGAACATGATGATTAAAGGACGCTACGACTAGTCCTTGGCCACTGCACCGGTGGATGTTGGAGCTGCTTCCATGGACATGTCGTGGGAAATCTGAGCGCTAGTATTGCACACAGCACTTAAAAAGAGAGTGCCACGCCCCTGGCCCAGCTCTGCCACACTCTACACCCGTACAGGGGACGACCAGCACTGTGTTCCCTGAGCAAGAACCTGACCGTCAGTCACTCTGCGTGTTCCCTGCCTGCCCGGTATACAGAGCTTGGCTCCTGGTACTTGATTGATGTTGAAAGCGTTATGAAATATATTGGGGAGGGAGCAAAGTGCAGGCTGCTGTTACCAGACTCCCGAACTCATGCCACTACTCAAGAGCGTCTGGTGTTTCCTCAGGATGGATGCACCGCTTCCCAGTCTGGAACCAAAAACACGTCTGTGTGGAGGAAGCTTTTGGCCACGTCGTACTTTGGTGTCGATTGCTTTCTTGTCTCTGGGTAGAGGAAACGAGCGCATGACGGCATCGGTGTGGGGAACGACCGGACACGTGGCCTTTGGATCTTCCTTCCACACCTTGGCGTTAGAAATACTCCCGGAAAGCCGCCTCCTCCCAGTTGTTCCTTCCCTCTGATTTTGCCTTTCTGTTTTTTTGACTGAAGTGAGTTTCTTGTTGATGACGTCGTTTCCTCCTTGACAGCAAGCGGATGAATGGCAGGCCAGTTTGGAGACACCGGAGCCTTCCGAGCCCCCCCCCCCCAGTCGAATTAA